GGGCGGACAGCAGGGGTGGGGTAGGCAGACCTGTTGAGCGCGCGCGCGCGCCGGGCTTGCCTACCCCAACGGCGCTCGCCTCGCCCGCCTCTGTCTATCCTCGTCGCACTCGCGTCTCGTCTCTCGCCCCGCGCAGCCCTCCTGCTCTCTTTCTCTCGCTCGCTCTCGTGCAGCAGAATGAGCCGAGTCACGGCGGTGCCGTGCAGACGGTGCGCATCAGTAAAGTGTACTTTTCCAAGGCGGCGGCACGGGGGGAAGCCCCACGCACTTGTGTATACCTCCGCAGCTCGTCCTTCGTGCTTCTATTCAATGGCGATATAGAATGAAAGAAAAGGGATCGGCGGGGAGGGTCGCGGTCCGTAGAAGTGCTGCTGCTCTGCCGACCGACCGACGCGGTGGAAAATGCCGGGCGTCCGCTTCGTCGGTGATTTCCAGCAGAACGGGTGACGCCTGCTGCGGGCGGCGGCGGCTCCGCGGTCCGCGCGGCCGATCACTCCAGTCGAGTCCGCGATGTGTCGGGAGCACCACCGCCACCACTTCGCCGCCGGCGCCGCCCTCGCCTTCGCGGCCCTGGCCCTCCTGCTGCAGGCTCGCGGCCTCCGGGCGGGCGCCGGCGCCGACCCGGACCAGGGCTGCCTGTCGTGCCTGTGCCAGGCCGCCACGGGCTGCGACGCCAACCGCGACTGCGAGGCGGACACGTGCGGCATGTTCGCCATCTCGCGGCAGTACTGGAAGGACGCCGGCGCGCCGGGGGGAGGTAAGTGAGGAATGCCGGAAATTAGCTTCATGCGAATTTTCGGTTAAAAAAGTTAACTATTCATATTTTATTTTTTGATCATATTTTCATTTATTTTTTTTGTGAGGTTGGGAGCGATTGGGGGATGAGTGCGGGCATTAGCGGGAAGTTTATTGTATTTTCATTTATTTTCTTTCCTTCTGTAGATTTTGAAACGTGTGCCCTGGACCCCGCATGTGCGACGCAGTGCGTCCAGTCGTACATGCAAAAATTCGCGCGGGTGAGTGTGCCGTGCCCGTCACGTAAAATCGGAAACAGTCACGGTGACGTCACATTTCGTCCGCAAGGCCGTCACATTCCGACGAAATGTGTATAAAAACGACATCAGTTGTGTGACGTCGGTGAAAATTTCCAGGACTGCGACGGAGACGGCGAGGTGGGCTGCAGCGACTACTGCCGCCTGCACCACCTGGGCCGCGAGGGCTGCGGCGCGGCCCTAGGCGGCGGCTTCGCATCGCGCCTCGCCTCCTGCAACGCCTCTGTGCCGCTGGGGGACTTCTACGCGCGGGCGGCGCTGAGGGCGCCCAGGCAAGGGGTAAGCAGGCTGGGAGCGAGGCGGGCCGAAAGGTGGGCCAAAGGGACTCTGTCGTTTTGTTGTGTTAATCCTCTCTTCGCCGGCGTCCACTAGACGTCCTGGCAGAACGGCGGCGGTTCCAACTCCTTTCCGCAGCGCTCATCGGGGTCCTCGGGAGGGAGCCCCAGCTACAGCTTCAACCCCAGCGTGAGCTACAGCCGGTCCGTGACGGTCAACCCGACCTACCAGAGTGGTGGTGGTGGTGTTGGTGGCGGCGGCTACTCGCTGGCCACCGGTTCCACCGGCTACCAAAACGGCCAGTACCAGGGGGGTTCCTCCGGCTACCAAAACGGCCGGTACCAGGGGGGTTCCACCGGCTACCAAAACGGCCGGTACCAGGGGGGTGCCTCCGGCTACTTGACGGGCTCTGGCTACCAGCAGGGCGGAGGCTACGGCGGCTACAGCGGCTACGAGGAGAGCGGCTACAGGACGGCGGGGGTTGGGGGCCGGGTGGGGGCCTTTGGCCGGCCGAACGACTACCGCGAGGGCTACCTCTGGGGCGCCGGAGAGAGCGGGGGCTTCTCGGGCGGCAGGCGCTACTCCGGGGGCGGCTCCTCTGGCTACGGCGGCCGCCTGCCCGTCGTGGTGTCGGCGCGCACGGGCACCCGCTCCGCCCCCGTGTCATCGTCCTGCCTGTCCTGCATCTGCAACGCCCTCACCGGCTGCGACCCCCTGGCCGGCTGCAGCGGCGGCGGCTGCGGCGCCTTCAAGCTGTCCCCGGCCTACTGGAGGGACTGCGGCTCGCCGGGACAGAGTGAGTAGTTGACCCCCGACCCCCATCCCCACCCCCTTGCTCACCCCCATCCTCATCCCCACCCCCATCCCCACCATCACCCTAACCCTACCCAAAACCAATTCCCTGAGAAAATCTTCTTTAAAACTATTGTCATATTTATCCATCATTTTACAGCTTACGAATACTGCACCCGTGACTTCGCCTGTTCCAGCTCTTGTGCCCGAACGTATCTCACTAAGTATGCTCAGGTAAGAACTTTTACTTTTTTTTTTGCATTTGTTTAGGGGGTGGGGATGGGAGGCCTTGATTAGATGCGCAGTTGACAAGACAACTATTTTTACGCTGCTCACTCCCTGCGACTGTGGTCTCTTTTGTTGCAGGACTGCAATGGGGATGGATCGGTTGACTGCGGGGACTACGCCAGGATCCATCGACTTGGCGCGTTCGGCTGCAGCGGGGCGCTGGACGAGCCGTACCGGTCTTACGTGGATTCTTGCAGTGCTTACTGAGGTAAGGGGGGAAGGAATTGCAAACCAAATGTTAGAGATATGAATAAGATTGTATTTCATAACACCCTTGAAATAATATAATCGTGAGTAGAGGTAAAAATATACCGGAGAAATGGCTAATACTGAGGGCAATCACTTAAACAGCATGTGATTATAAATTAGACAAAACTCATATACTTCATGATTCTAGGAATTAATTGAGAGATAAGTACATAGATTTTTAAGTAAAGAGATCATAGAGGATCAAAAAAAGAAAATGACTAGAGTTTCTAGAGGTTCATCAGTAGATCTGCCTTACAGTTGACTTATTGATGACCAGAAATAATATCACATAGAAACATGGAATGTAGAAGGGACACTTTGGTGAACTTTCTATAGTTAGGTTACGGTCCAACCCCAAGCACTGTGGTTGGAACTTAAAAGTTAAATAAATAATGAGACTAGTAAAATTAAATGTCTAATACCAAGTACACCTAATAATTAACTAGATAATGAACACATTGGAAATAAATAAATATAAAACCACAGAACAGATTAATTAATGCAAATAACTCAGTATAACAAGATAAGTATGATTCCGACGCACACAAACAAATATTGTAAAAAGTCTGCATATCACACTCACACTAAAATCACAAAACAAATATCAGACCATAAATAATATAACACAATTGACAAACTAGATCATATTCTTCTACACTCAAAAAAACTGAGATAGGAAAAAGACATGTTCATGATATGAGAATACAATGAATGAGTTATACAATAGAAAGTCAATCCAATACATACACAACATACACAACTCCAGTTGAACATTCAGGTATGCTTTGGCAATAATTGGGCAGTATTAGTTACAAAATGTCATCATGGCTAATTTTTTCTTAAAGCCATCAGTCTATTAAGTTCTAGCTTCTAAGCAGAAAATGGTTGATGATATTGAAGAGCAGATAAATGAATAGTACATTATTGGTGGTTAATTATACAGACGTGTTACAGTGTAGTACCACTAGTATAAGTATGGATTGGGTTTGTTAGATGATAATAGTAATGGTGGTTAAAAAGTGTGTGCATTGCGACAAACACCACATCCAAGAGCAAATTCTTCACCAGTTGGTGGGTGTTTTACATGCAACGGGCATTCATCACCTTCCAGCTGCTTTGCTTTAGGACCTGAAGGGATGGATTAGTTGGTTAAAGAGGGTTTAGTGGTTTAAAAACAAAATTATGGTTAGTAGGAATTTATGGTTGAATAAATTTCTACACTTACCTGCAGGACAACTTGGCAACTCATTTTTAGGGATGTTTGTGACTCGCTGAAAGTCATCATGGCATGGATTGCAGAAATGAGTTGAACCAAAGCAGAAGAAAACAGCAACAGAGCAACAATATCGACATTTGTATTCAAGGAAGTCTGTGCCATGTTTAGGGCACATTTGTGCACTAGCTACATCACTGCATCCTCCGCACACTAGTTCAGTAGGATCATACTGCTCTCCCATTTCAGCATCACAGCGAGCTTCACCACCATAATAAGCCTGAAAAGACATTTAAAAGAAAAAAATTGCTTGAAAATATAACCTTTGGTGGGGAGATGTTTTAATAATAGGAATTTTAAGCTCACCTTATTACACTTGAAGCACACATAATAGGCATACCGATCCATTGCATAAGCTGCTGGATCATTGTAAAATCGAGCTCCAGGTGTAGTGATAGCTTCTGTCTGGTGGAGACCCTCATATTCAAGTCTCATTAATGCCTTCCTACGAACGTCTTCCAATAATTCCTTAATTGGCCCTAACAATTCATTTAGAACTTCATGTTCAATTGCAGCCTGTAAAATTTTAAAAATGTAATTTTAAGGTGTACAGAGATGCAAAAATGATATTTAAGTAAGTTCAATATTTTTATTTATTCTCACCTTGCATATAGGACACTGAGAAAATCCAAATGTAATTCTTGGGCCTGGCCAGCGTTTGCTGAGCACATTTTGGCAGCAGTGCAAATGAAATACATGGCCACAAGACAACTGTGAAGTATTTTTAAGTCAGATATTAATCACCAATTCAAATGTTAGTCACCAAAACTGAAGGTGTATTCTAAGATCATGGATTCTAAATACCTGCACTGCTGGAGCACAAGAGAGAGCTTCAGTGAAGCAAATCATGCACATGTCATCTGCATCTTGCTTCAAACTTGGATTTCCTGAGCAACCATGGAGACAAGGTAGACATGCTGTTTCACCTACAATACCTCCACATACATGACCACAGGGATTATGTTTGGTGCATGCATTTTTAGCATGTTCCTGAAATTAATATTTTTAGTTGATAAACTAGGAAATAAAAAATAGGGAGAATATACAGCACGAGTTATACTATGATCTCATATCTCATACCTGGCATTCTTGGTCAGCGCATACATTGCTGATGGCAAGTAATCCTGTATTGCCAGTTGCTCCACAAAATCGGCATGTTCCAGAACTAAAGTTGGCTGATTTCCCTGATCTCCGTTCTCTGAACTCAACCATTGCTTTCAAAGTACTACTGTCAGCCAAGGCCATTACCCAAAATAATTTTGTACGACCGCATCCCTCATGGAGATCGACTTTAATGGCTTCCTCCTCTTCTTTGCACACCTTGTATGAGAAAACTCAAATTAAGTATTCTGAAAATATTCGGGCTCCTACATACAAGTCTTTAATTAAATTTAACATCTTACCTGTCTCTGGTGCATGCGGGTACGTCGGTGAAGATGCAGGAAACGATCACATTCAGCACACAAATTACCACAGACACTGCACTGAATAATGGCTCCGGTCTCACCATCATCATGGTTGCTACATAATGGCTGTAAATTTGCAGATTGTTTTTCACTACTCTGATGAACAAGATAAAAAATTTATGAAATTAAAAATAATAATGGTTTATGTCTTACCCTTGGGGGTGGAGGCTGTCCATCAGCACCACGCCACTCTCCAGATGAAAGTCTCTCAACATGATCACTGTCTAGCACACATAATGCAGCAAGGGCAAGCCACAAGGTAGGAGTTCGAAGGCATTCAGTGGGAGCTCTTTCAGTTTCTCCGAGGCGAGTCAAATTTAGTATACTTTCCGCAATTGCTCCTTTGGTAACCTCAGCCCAGGAATCAGAAATTTTACCCTGTTCCGAAAAGAGAAGTAAATTAATTAATGGTTAATACAGGTTCAGGATGTAATTTTTAAAATTGTTAATTTTGAGACACGTACTGCAGCCATATCTTTGAGGAGCTGGATTATCACTTCAGCAAGCTTGCGTGTTATACACCCACGCAGCCACCAACGAGCCCCAACAAAATCACGAGGGTGGATGGATGTTGCCAAAGTAACAGTGGTCAGACCTTTGCCACTACCAGCTCCTGTTGTCCCAGCTTCTTTCCCTTTGACTTTCACCTGAACAGTGAGGGCCTTGGCTATGCAGCTCAAAAATACGTCCAAAATACTGACCCTGAGGAGCAAACATTGAAACAAATCATAGTTAAGAATTGAATTTTGAAAGTTGAAAAACTTGATTTATTAATTGTATATTAATTACTTGTGGATATCAAATGACGAATCTGTTTGGGACAAAGTTTTACTGACAACAGTTACAATACTAAAGTCAGCAGGAGGGAGCTGGCCAATATTCATGATGCTGCCTAAAGACTGAGGTGCTACCTCCGGAAGCATTCTGCGTAGTAGTGATGTCACCTATAAATTAAAAATACAAGGAAAGAAGTAATTAAGTTTTATTTTTTCTAAGGTAAAACTAATTTTAATTCAAAATTTGTTGTGTTTACTTACTTGTCTCTGAACTCTGGCTGACCCTGTATGCAAGAGACTGAGCACATCTCTGATCAAGCCATGCTGCTGAGATAAGTAAGCCTTGCCAACACTTGATCCAGACAATGCAAGTACCATGGAGAGCATTTCAAAGCAGTATGCATCGGCTTGCTTCATCATGTCTCCATTGCCAAAACTAACATTAAGACCAGCACTTGAGGCGCTGGGTGGTGAGCAGAGGAGTATTTCCCACTCCTCCCTAACATGGAGTGCCTCTTTACGAATGGCCTGCACGATATGAATAACAACTTGCTTCTGCAGGTGCGTTAGTTTGCTCCTACTGAAAAGTATTCCAACCATGTGTTCTTTCAAATCATTGTTCTCTTCAGCTTCTCTTTGAGCAGAATCGCTCTGCTCAGGGCCTGAGGGTTGCTGGGAGTCAGTGTCAGAAATTTGCTGCTGTTGCAGCAATTTACCAAAAACTTGGCTTGTAATTAGGCGGAAAACTCTGAGTGTTTCTGCTTCACAGTTACGTTGCTGAATAGTCAGGGCACTGCGCTGGCGTACTTTTGTACTTTCACCTTGCATATCACCCAAAATTCTAACTTGACGTAATCTTAGAGAATTATCTGGCCCCTTCAGCTCCAGTCTTATGACAGAATGGTTGGCTTCTAAAAATAAAAAACAAAAAGTAAGAAAACTTTAGCAGTTACTTCTCTTTGAAAAAAAAAAGAAGCATCACAAAAATGAAAAAAAAACAACAACATTTTCTTACCTAGAATGGGACAACATATCCAGCCCGTTGATCGATTTTCAACATCTGTTTGCTGTATGAAGTACAACTCATCTACAGCTTGGCCAGTCAAAAGAATAACACTTGAAACTTTATTCTGAAAAATAAAAAGGAATTTTAAGAATTTTATAATGAAACATAGTTTTAGATGGGCAGATATATTTCGAAATACTTACTGCAAGGTCTCTGCAGTTATCCACATGAATATATATCATTCTGGGATTGGCACGTGGGTCACATGTAATTGTTATTATCTTGGTCTTATTTCTAGAAAGTTAAAGTATAGTTATGAGACCTTAAATTTATGAACCAAGTCAGGGAATGTTTACTTTCCCAAAAAGTTAGACATTATATATACCTGTCTTCATCACCCGATTCCCAAAATGTCTCAGTTGAGTTATCAGTCAAACTCATCACCATAGCTTGACGGCTAGATGCCTTGATGTCAACATCTGGGGTGAGATCTTTGAGAATTTCCACATTGTTGAAGTAGACCTGTGAAAAGCTGGATTGGTGGCTTTCATTCATGCTCATAGTCAAATCTTCCTGTTCCTCCTCGGTATGAGATAATATTTTACTTATGTTGCTAAATACTTGAGACCTGGGGAAATTAAATTATGATCAATAATTTGACACCAATATTTAGTGGCAACAATGAGCACAGCTCAGGGCACTTTTGCTCACCTATGAAGGAAGACATGATCTTGAGGAGTAAAACGTAGACCCCAGCATTGCACCGCCATTTGTTGCAATGCAGATCCAGGTGGCAGCAACAGCATAAGATCAGCCACACTTTGTAGTAGGCCATGGAATGTGGATGGCAATGGATGGACTGCCTCTCCAGCAATGCTGATGTCACTCAAAGGATGTTCACAAATGGAACGCATATCCTGGTCAGCAAAAATGTTAAATGTTAAACAAAACTAATAGTCATGCTAGAAATACTGGGTGTTTAACTTTACTATTCATACCAAATCATCTTTGCGATGAGCGTCTCCACGGCTAGCCTCTATTTCTTGTTCTGATTCTTGACTGGATGATGTCAAAGCTGCTACCAGCCACCACAGTAGGTCATGGAGACTACAGGGTTGCGAGACATTGTGCAGAAGCCAATTTAATGCCTGCATTTGAAAAGGGGAAAAAATAAATAAATATCAGAAGTTTTGAAGGGGAGGTGCACGAGGTGTCCTCAGTTGCAGGCAGAGGCAGACGGACTAAATGTTCTCACCTGCATAGCGTAGACCCGGCACGACGCCTTGCGCAGCGCCTGCTTCATGGCGAACTGGAGGCTCTCCAGGTTGTGGTGCTGGAAGAGGAAGGTCATCACGGGCCGGCTCAGGATGTCTGCATTGGTGCCGGGCACCGTGCCGGGGGACGCCGAGCTGCTCGCCACGATCGCCGAGCGGTCCATGTTGGGCACCAGCTTCTGCAGGGCGGCCGACGGGTAGCACAGCAAGTACGACCCCCCATCTGCAAGCAACGACGTGTAGGAGACCGGGGACCAACTGGAAGGGTAGAGAGACTCCGTCGCCGACGTCGACGCGAACGTGCTCACCTCCGGACACCTGCTCGCCGCCGCTGTTGTTCCTGCGCCGCATCATGACCACCCTGCCGTCGCCCTCGCGTCTGCTCCAGGACGCGCCGTTGGTGCCCATGGACACGGAGCGGTGGAAGCCGAGGCCCAGGCCGCGGCCGCGGGCGCCGTCCGCCTCCATGTCCGAGTAGAACTCGGACACGGGCCTGGCGCCGCCGCCGCCGCGGTGGCCGCCGTGGCCGTGGCCGTTGCCGTTGCTCTCCTCGGCGGCGGCCCGGCCGGCGTAGCCCGGGTACCCGGGGAAGGCGGCGGCGTGCGAGTGCGCCGCGTCCTCGCGCAGCTGCGACGGGTTGGCGCCGAGCGCCGCCAGGCACTGGAACGGCCCCACGGGCGTGAAGGGCCCCGACGCCTCCTGCGGGCTGTAGTTCTCCGCCACCGTCGGCATGTTGGGGGACGGCCTCCTCTGCGATGGGAAAATGTTTGTTGAGTAAGGATCGACCAGAAAGTACGCTCGTTTTCATTTTTCTCCGATTCATCTTAGGCAAATTGCGGGAGCTCGGCGCCTGCGAATCTCACGGTAGGCCAGCCCGCAGTACACGCGTGCACTGCAGGCGTGACGTTGCCTACCTACCAGGCGGTACGTTGTCTACCAGTCACCGCCCAACCCCCTCCTCCCCCGAAAAATAAAATAAAACGGGTACGCACCTCAAGATGAAGTCCCGAGCCGGCGGCGCTGGCAAGCTCCAGGAGGAACATGGCATTGTTCCTCATGATGATGTGCACGTCTTGAGGCGGGACCGCGCCCCCGGGAGAGAGCATCTTGATGGGGGTGCCTGGCCCCGAGTACACGCTCCTCTTGCGCAAGGGAATGCCCGACTTCTTGGGCGTGCCCGGCTGCCCCTGCCCGGCCGATGACTTCTTGGTCCTCAGATACCGATCCCTGGGTTTAATTAAATAATAAAAATAATAATAATAATTGTGTTTGCATAAAAAGCGACATACTTTATGGCAGGGAAATTTTAAAATGTGCCTACCTGCAGGCATCACACACGAGGTACCAAGAGCTCCCGCCGATGCCTCCGTCGCCACAGTTCCCGGCCCAGCCGACGCAGAAGTTGCCCCCGCTGTTGTAGCCCTTGCCTCCCGCGTGAGCGCCGCAGCCCGGGTGCGCCACGCGCATGTGGTACGTCACCGGGTGCGGGTAGCAGTTGCCGCAGAGCTCGCAGACGGTCTCGTTCTCCAGGGCCGGTGCGGCGGCGCCGTTGGCTGAAATGCCAGCGTTCGTGCCACTGACAAAACGCCATTCTTTCTTCTTGCGACCCGACTTTTTCGTGTCCTTGTTTTCCTTTTTAAGGAGGAAAATGCATATTTTAAAGTAATCATGTCACCGTACTTCTTTTTATTCGCTAGTGCTCGAGTAGTTCTTACCTTGTTGGCATCTTGATCCTTGAATGACACAGCTTTCTCCTTTTGTTTCAGGCGATGCAGGGATCGAGCTTGAGAGGAGGTGCTCGGGTTGGGGCTAAGCAACGCTGCCTGGTTATTGATTGCCTGGAGACAGCTGGTGCTCAATTGCTCCCAGAGTAGGACAAGAGCTTTGAGTGCTGGAGGTAAGATTGCTACAGTTTGAGTTGGTAGCGGTATCCCACTTCGCAGGGGTTCTCCAGAGCTTGAAGCTCCTGACCGTTGTAGTGGTACACCATCAATAGCTCCAGGAATTCCACTTTCTTCTCGAATGATTGCTTCTGCTTGAGTCTGTGGCTTTTTAGTGCGACTGCGGTTCGCATTAGCATTGGCAGCGGAACGGGTGAGGGATTCAAGAGTGGCTGGTTGTATATGCAAATAGCTTCCAGCATTTGTGACCTGTAAATTTTTATTCATATTATTTTATTTTATTAATAGTCGCCCCCAAAAAATCTGGTTCTACTTTCTTCTATGATTTTTTTACCTCTACTGAATGGCGTTGTCTGACTTTATCACCCTGTTTGCTAGTTATTGGTTGAGGTCTTGTAACAACCACAGCTCCTTGTTTAGGAAGATTTGGGTGAAATTTCAGGAAGGAGGCACAGGCCATTGCATCATGCACTATTCCTTCATGCCATAAAAAGGCTGCAAATACTGCTCTTAAACTTTCTGCCACAGAGGGACTGACAGCCTCCTTCACAGGTTCTATAAAATTCCGTACAAAATTAAAAGAAATGAATATGCATTTGTTTTAAAACATGAAATTCAGCACAAATATCTTAATGAACTTACGTGGTATGACTCTAGCGGTGGGTAAAGGCGCAGGGGAAGGGGATACAGCCCGCTTTCCACCTCGAGCTTTCAAACTTCTGTCAGCCTTTCGAGAAAGTTTAGGAGATAAACGTGTTTCATCTTTAGCACTGTGAGCAGTACCCATACTGAATCGGCCCTTAACAACAGTTGTTCCCTCTGGACTAGTCTGTGTGTAGGCTTGACTGACTGATTTGCTGCTACTGTCTGACTCCTGCTGAGAAAGGTACAAAATTATATTTTTAATGATTTATGTCAGAAAGTAAAATTTTATAAAAGACTCTTGCCTGTTCAGCTTGTTTAGCAATAGTGTCCTCTTTGGTAGAACCCTCAGACTGTATGCTGCAGCTAGAACCAGGAGATAGATCTCTGGTGTTTCCAGGACTCGCAGAAGATTGGTCTCTTGTTAGACTACTCGCAAATGCACTCGTGTCACTTTGGGTGGAGCTCCTTCTCTGTGATGAAAAATCTGCCATACCACTCGACACTGATTGGCAAATATTGAACTCATTAGAAAACATAAACATGACATACTTAAAATTAAATATTTTTCTTAAAATCCTTTTTTAAAAATAATACCTAGTGGAGATATTCCCATAGAACCTGCAGCTTGTGGACTTGAACTTGGGCTTGGACTCTCTAAAACCATGCCAGACAAGGCACGACCTATTTGATTTTTTGAAAGCAAAGAGATGTAATTTTATGTAATTATATATTTATATAAATTTTAAATATTTGTTTGAAACAAATATCAGAAATGTTCCTACCTGGTATTGGGACAGGGCTTGAAGATGATGATTCTGAAATCTGAGATGAGGAAAGAAGAGGTGCCTTTGGACTAGAGCTGCGTGACATTCTTTTTGGGGTGCTTGGTGGTGTTGCTGTATTTCCATTGGAAGAACTTTCACCAATTGCTTTTACCAAATCCCTAACAGAGACACCTACAAGCTCTGGGGGCATATCACCTCTGCAAGAAAGTGAGTGAAATAATGTTGGAAAATCACCTATTCTCACTTCTTGTTTGTAACAGCATCATTCATAAGCATACCTTGGTGGGGCAGAAGGGCGCTCTGGTGGTTTCTTTCCATCATCTCCTTTCAACCATCTTTGTAGGGATGCGAATTTTCCTCCATCACTGCTCTGGCGCCTCTCCTTTTGTCCGTCTTTCTCCCTCTCAGCATCAGGCGGTGGTTTACAAGTTGAATGACGTCTTTCTCCATCAGATGTAGTCCTGGGAACAACTGGAAACACACAACATGGTGATTCTCTAATTCATCTCTCTCATGATAGTCAATTGCCCTCAGACCAAAAATTTACCTTTCGGCGGTGGGGGTACATTAGTTTGAGTCTGGGGTCCAAAAAAGAAGGTTTTTGGTGGTGTAGAAGGAGCAGGTTCATCCCAAAACCCTTTGGGCTCTGAAGTTTTCTCTGGACTTTGGCCAGGGGAATTATGAGGCTGAAATTTGAATGGTGCAGCAGGCGTGGGCTCTGCCTCTGACAGTCCAAAAGCCATAAGTTGGTGTGGAGAAGTATTGATAAAGTCAAAACCTTTCTTGGGGGAGGCACCAAAGGCATTTTCTGGATTTCCAGAGTCAGTGCACATTTCTAGAAGGGAAAATAAACGGAGTTTTAAAATTAAGTTTTTTCCTTCTTTAAAAAAAGATTAAAAGTGAAAATATGATGATAAAAGATATCCTATAATGTGATTCTTCAAAATTTGTACCTTTAAAAAGTTCATCCTCAGCTTGAAGATAAACAGCGCCATTTCTTCCACTAGATAGTGACCACGCTTCTCCATCTGAGTTAAAGCAGTATTTAGTCATGGCACTCTTGTCCAGTTGTACCCATGTTCCTTCTAGAGTAACCACCTGCCAAACAAAATTGTATTTTTCCAATGAATATATTTTATACATGATGAATTATTCTACCTAAGTCTAAAACTTACATGATCAATGATATCAATGGTGTTCCCAAGAACTAGCATTCCAACAGGAGGAGCTTTCAAGTTTGGTCGACTTCTTATGTTATGCCCAGAAGCTCCACACTTCACAACATGATATGTTGCAGGATATCCAACACAGATAGTTTTAGCGCGCCTACAAAATTCAGGAAAAAGAAATAAATCACAACCTTTTTTCTTATAAATTACTAATAAATATCAATCCTTAATTTTACGTACCCATCCTTGGAATTCAAATCAGGCAATCTTCTAATTATAGCATCTCTCTGCACTTGTTCCGTGACAGCCTTAGGCTCCTCAACAGGTAGTAGGAGTGTTTTTCCAAGGTGCTGGTTATATTGCAGGCACCAAGCCTCTTGGATGGTGATGCGGTGCGGAGGGGTGTCATTTGAAAGGTCCAGAGGCTGCACACCTCCACCCCAACTTCCTCCTGAGCCACTTCCACAATACTTCCGGACAGTCTCCACATTTAGGCGAAGCCAGACCCCATCATCGTTATGTATCTGAAATTTGTAACAAAAACAAGTAAGTCAGTAGAATTTGATGTTTTTGAAAAGAGGACAAGTTGTTTCAATAAT